ACACACACACACACACACACACACACACACACACACACACACACACACACTAAACAAACAAATAGCCTGAAGGGAGGCTGGGACAGAGATTGGGAAATACTATGTTTGGAGTAGTATGGTGACAGGGATGGCGTGTAGTCCGTCCGCTACGGATGTATGCGTTTGTTGGTTGGCGGTTAATTTGTAAAGTTGGCTGCTATCGGCAATGTAATTAAGCAGCTGAAAGGATTAGCCGTAGATCGCGTGGTGATTGCAACAGTTCAGTAATCGCTCCCACGTACACATATGGTTGCGCAACGAGTATCGCGTACGAAATATCCGTAGGCCATGCAAGACACACGTACTCGTTGCTCCATCCACCACGTACATGCGTTCATCGGCTATTCAAGTCGCAATGCGCCCGCATCTTCCCACACTTTCGCCCCGCATAACAGGAACCATACAGATGCAACAAACACAGTGAACGGCTAAATAATTCGGTTATTGTAAGCTAAGTAGGAAAAATTTCGGACTAACATATTGCTTTTCTGGCGCGTTTGTCGGCGAGCGAGCTGAACCCCGCGTTTGTTGATGTTTGAAATACGACGCGAGAGTTAGCGTTTTATTTCAATTATGAGTTACGAAAACAGTGATACGATAGAAGCGGTCCGTGCTCGACTGACTCAATCAGATCGCCCGCGTCTGTGTCTGTTACGAGTCGCTAACGTAACACTTTCACTAAAAGTATCGCCCTGGAAACCAAACGATCGTTTGCTTGAACTCTTAAAGTAGTGTTTACTAATTCCTTCTCAGAGGTCCCAAGTTGGGAAAATCCAAGAAAGTGATCACTTGTGATAATGGTCCATCGCCGTTTTTCCGCGGTGCGCAAAAACAGGTAAAAAGTTGTGGCGGGCTGCGACATGTGTTTGTCGCGGCGCACCACCATTTTTTATAAAGTATAAATGTAAAATAAAATGAAAATTCAAAATGAAAATGCAAAAAAAACAAATTTGTGGCCTTTTATTGTTCGCTGGAATCAAAGTACATCAACAACCACGGCAAATTTAGTAATTTACTGATGTAAATGATAAAATATGGCTGAAAAATGTTACGACCGGGACTTTTTGGACTCATACCGGGGCTCCGGGACCAGCATGTCGTACCGGGAGGATCTCGGTCCCCCCGAGACACTTGGAACGTCTGCCTTCTTGATTGATCGCCGTAAATTACGATGATTGACGCGCGATCCTGGTCACGGAGTTTCGTGGTATTCTATATAACGATGATAAAACAGGGAACTCTATGGATGTGGCATCATCGTCTCTTCAAATGACGATGAAATGTTAATTCTATCTTTACTTTATTCACGTTCTTTTAATTTATTCAGCAATTTTATACAGCAAATTATTCGCATAAATAGTTAGGTTCAAAGGTAAATTTAATTATGTATGTTTCAATGCAATTTCCTCGACGCCAGTCTGTTTGTCATGGTAATAACGAATTAAAGTTCAACAAATCTTCTCGGTTCAACAGAATCTTTAGTGTTTCATAGAGCATGTTCGAAAATACAAGTCTGTCCAAACAGATTGTTAATTTGTTACGCTGTAACAATGGTCGCTATGCCACGACGGTGTTATTGTAGATTGATCTAAACTAATATGATAGCAATATGCAAGAATTCAATCAATTGTTGCAAAGCGCAAACGCGCTGTATTTCGTAAGTTATTGATGTATTTAATTTATTAAGTATGAACTTTTAATATGTTTTAATATATTTTTAATGGCAAGCTGAATATGTTTTGATTCTATTCTGCTAGTAGTCGTTGTGCATTTTACCAATGCGCTTTCATGTGGCTCCGTAGGCCGAAGGCAGAAGCAAACGCCCGGGCACAGATTGGCCACTGAAAGTCCAGGGACTGGGTTGGTGGACGGGACGCTGCCCTGTGGCGTCGCTCTCTAGCAGCTGCCAGGAACTCACGACGGTTTTCCTCAAATTTCAGCGTGGCATTCCTGGAGGCAGCTCTCCAATTAGTTCTGTCAGCAGCTGTAGGTTCGAGCTGCGTAGGATGCAACGGGGCCCATTTGAGGGCATCTTTTAGTGTGTCCTTGTAGCGTTTCCGCGGTCTATCTCAGTGACGCTTACCTTCAGACAGCTCACTATAGAGAACCTGCCTGGGTATCCTAGACGGGTCCATCCACTGATTTTGATTCCATTACAACTGCTCTATTTGTAATGAAATTTCAACACGAATTATAATCGCGTGTTTGATTGTGCGCAAATCTTAGTGGAAGCGTGGTGCTAAGACTCCAACAGTCGCGATCTTCTTCATTCCAACGATGGCTGTATAACGGTGGGTGAATCTGTAAGCTAAGGCGTCTATGAGACGCACATAGTTGAAGCCGCTCATATTCATTCAGCTTCATCGGGCTTCATCCAGCAGCTGTCTTACATCAGCGCTTTTATTACTTTTACGATTTCTCGGATTTTTAATGACGTTAAGACGACGACGTCGCATGGTAGATCTCCTAACTATGGTCATAAGTAGAACTTATTAAACCGCACGAAGATCTAAATTGAATGAGCATGTGGCGCCCGTCGCTGCTCTCTGAAGATTGGCTGGCGCTGGTTTACGTGGAGGGATAACTGTTTTCCCGACTGATGGAAGAAGCTGTATATGTACAGAGGTAAGTGTTTACCCCGTTGTTGATATGTCTGTAGAGAGGTTCCCGTTTCCCCGCCGGATTCGGTTTCAGTCTGTAGATGATGTGTTCGATTTCTGACCACCGGCCCTGCGATATCCATGTTCGCTGTCATGAACAGTAGCGCGACTTAGATATTTATTTGACAGTTTATGGGGATATAAACTAATTTTCCAAAACCGCGCAGCAGGATGTCGTGGGATGGTTCAACCATAAACCTGCCGCGCCACTTACTGCATGAACGCGATACCGTCATGTCGGAGCTGACATAGCATATACTGTGAGCTGTCAGCAGAGTAAGGCAAGCACTAACATTATAAGTTCATATGTAGGCGTGATGCGTCAAGAATTGGAAAGTGACGAAAGCGTCCGTGGCATATATATACGTAGGTGTTCGTTGTCCAACAATATAGTCGTTGCCGCAACAATGCCAGCCAATAACAGTGTGTGCGGCCATGTGCATATAGATAGGTTTGAATCGCCGCGATGGGTTTGTGTGCATGCGTGCGTGCGTGCCTGTGCGTGTCCGTGGGTGTTCATTCACGTAGAGGAGTGTGCGTGCGGGCGTGCGCGTATGTGCGTGTGCATGTGTGCGTGCGGGTGAATTATTGCGCGGGCGTGCGCGCGCATGCGCGTATGCATATGTGTACGCGCGTGTATGACTGCGGATGCGCGTGTGCGTATGTGCGTGTGCGCGCGGGTGTGAGCGTGTGCGTGCGCGTGTGGGAGTGAGTGTGCGTGGCGTTCCTATTCCTTGTCTGTGGCTTTCCGCGTACAGCGCACACTGATAGATTAACGTCCCCGTGCTTGAGCGCATCTGCGGAGTGTCACGGATGAAGATGCTGCCTCCGCTTCCTTGCTGGCATCTGCACAGCATCAACAGGAAGATGCCTAAGTTTGCTCGGCTGAACGGTTGCAGCATCTGTTGCCTTTTTGCTTGCCGCCTCGTGCATATGCAGGTGCCGCTGCACGCCGGTACGCGGAAACGCGGAATAAGCCCTGCTAACCGACCGACGTGGTGGGCGTAGGTAATGAGTTAAAAGCGCAGCGAGCCGTCACTGCGCCGCATAGGAGAGCGCGCGCGGTGCATGCACTCTAGAGGCAGTAAATCAACGACCGAACTTCGCCAGAACATATCTCCGCTATCGTCTTATTACGGCATGCGCACGGGAGTTTTGACTGGTTCATTAATGGGAGTAGGTACTGCATTTTATTTTCCGTACTCATGCCGTTCGCTTTTACTTTGTCACCTTGTTCAGTAGCTCCGGCCAGCCTTTCCGTGAAGACGTGTACGCTACTACACGCCAGTACAACGGTCGACGTTCTTTCGAGTGTAATATCATGAGACCGCTCTATTATATGCATACTACGACTCATATATATATATATATATATATAGGATATTCTAAGTACGCACGCGCTCTAACCGCAGCTGTTGAAGAAAATATGCAAGCTTATATTGTTTTTGCATCTAGCAGGATGAGTATCCGCGTGTATCTGCGTATAGACTTCTCATCCTCAACACGCCATGATAAGACCTTGCCCATGCAGCTTCTCAGTGTCATTCTATCTCTGCCTAGTGCATTTACACGGGAGCACCTGTTGCGCGAGCGTTTTCGGTCAGATTCGTTTTTCTCACGCGCACGCGACTACAGGTTCGGGAGATGGAGGGAGACAGGTGTCTGCAGGAAGCTACGGCTTCGCTGGGCTGTCGTGTTTGCGTGCGCTCTGAACTCTAAAATACACGTGTAGGTGGGCCCGTACGATCAGAACTCGCACGCTTCGCTTGCCTCATCGTTCGAGAACTAATCCGTTTTTGCTTCTTTTTCTTCGCACAGAAAACATGACCAGCAGCACGAGGATACTGTGGCTGCTGGTACTACTGTCTGCAGTCTTGGAACTGTGCGCCGATCTTCTACCGGAAGCTAGTCGCGACGCCATCAGCTCGCTCGTTGCCGACGAGCTGCACGCGCCGGAAGTGACGCAGGAATATCTCGACAACATCGAGACACGCTTGCTGCAAATGTTCGGCCTGAGCAGGCGACCTAGGCCTCGATCGAAGGCCGCCATACCGGAGTACATACTGCAGTTGTACCAGGAGCATCTGCGCAATCCGGAGGAAGCCGGCATGTTTCACAACACACGAGACGGAACGACCCACGCGTCGAACACGATACGAAGCTTTTTCGGTAGGTGGAGAAACGTTAAAGTTTTCCCCGCGAATATGTTTGCAGCAGGAAAACGCTAATTTATACTTTTTTTAAATTTAAAATTTAAAAAAAAATTTGGTGTTTTATAGCATGCCTGCTTTGATCCACACAATTGCGAGATCCATTATTTTAATTTTAATTAATCGTGCTACTTTTATTCAATTGAGAACTGTTAACGGGGATATGTGCTGGGGTAGAATTGAAGCTCACGGCTAATGGTGTGTTTGAATATTTGACGACTTTCGCGATACCGGCTTACTTAGGCCTTACTTTTAGCAGTATGAATACATGCTGGGCAACGGGACTATGTAAATACGAGTTGACTCCTTCCCTACCATACACAGACAGACGCGTACACTCATCCCTAACCACAAGCGACCACGCAAACACACATACACACACACACGGGCGCCTGCACGCACACACACACACACACACACGGGCGCCTGCTCTCTCTCACACACACACACACACACACACACACACACACACACACATTCGTACGCACGCACTCACGCACGCACACACACATACAATTAAATTTAATCTTGCTTTATATTCTAAATGTTTTTTACTGATGACACAGTAAAAAATTTATACCACCATCTCCGTTATTCTACTGACTACTATATATATATATATATATATATATATATATATATATATATATATATATATGGATATATATAATTTTGTTTCGTTTTTATTTAAGCGCGTATTTATGCCAAACGTTTTTTCAGCGGGAGGAGACGGCGAGGCATCGCCTGACGGCAGGCTGTCGTTTGACGTCCTCAACATACCGTGCGACGAGCATCTAGCTGGCTCCGAGCTACGCGTTTACCGGCAGGCGCTGCCGGCCCACGCCGGCGATACGCGCGTGCGCGTGAACGTTTACGAGACGGTGCAGCCGCCGCCACCGACGAGCGGGGCTGCCGACGACGACGACATCATCGAGAGACTCGTCGACACGCGGCTGATCGACGTCAACGCCACCGGCTGGGAGTCGTTCGACGTGTCGCCGGCCGTGCGACAGTGGACGCACCGGCCGCGCGACAACCACGGCCTGCGGGTCGAGGTGACGAGCGCTCACGGACGTCGGCTCGACGCGGCGCACCCGCACCGCCAGCACGTGCGGTTACGCCGCTCGGCGTCCAGCGACGACGCGGCCGCGTGGCGGCGACACCAGCCGTTTCTCGTCGCCTTCACGGACGATGGCCGACGCTCGTTCGGCGGGCGACGCGCGAAGCGGCAGACGGAGCGCGGTCGGCGACGCAACCGCCGGAAGGGCAGTCACAAGAACAACTGCCGCCGACACAACCTGTACGTAGACTTTCGCGACGTCGGCTGGGACGACTGGATCGTCGCGCCGCCCGGCTACCAGGCGTTCTACTGCAAGGGCGACTGCCCGTTCCCGCTCGCCGACCACCTGAACTCCACCAACCACGCCATCGTGCAGACGCTTGTGAACTCCGTGAGTCCGGCCGCCGTGCCGCGCGCCTGCTGCGTGCCGACAGACCTCAGCCCCATCAGCATGTTATACCTCGACGAGCACGAGAAAGTCGTGCTGAAAAACTACCAGGACATGGTCGTCGAGGGCTGCGGATGTCGCTGAGGCGCGAAGCGACGCCAGCGCGCACGCTCACGGCTTCTATGCACGTCGTCAGTAAGGTCCAGCTCCTCGGAGGACCTGATTAGGGGTTGAGACTGCTTGTGGGGCTGTGACCTCGACGCCTAACGTGATTAGTGAGACACGGGCTGTATCTGACGAGGCACCAGACGTGATACTCGGGAAACGTGTACCGCGCCGCGACTTACGAACGACGTTCATTCAAAAATTACCCTCTCCGCAGTTAAACTGGCGGCGGGCAGGTCGTCGTCGGTTATCCTTGACTATGTAGGTTAGCCGCGGAGACGACGACGGTGCACACGGCCCAGCTGACGCCAAGTGACACGAGAGAACGAGCCAACTACGTGGAAAGATCGACGGTGATTAGTGCATAGAATTTTTTAAATCTGGCGCCCGCCCACCGTCTGCGTCTCCGGCCGAAACAACTGATGTTCGTTTCATTCAAGCGTCTCGTCGCCCGACTGGCGTCAGACGTGCATCGGACGCTCGCAGTCGCTTTGTGTGATGTCCTCTGTCCAGCCGACGTTAACGTATTAGCTGATAATGCTAGAGGCGGTAATATGCACTCTCCCTGTATGCTTGCGGCAGATGGACTGTGTTGAGGACTATCTTTAACAGTGACAGAAAGAGAGAAACAGAGAGGAGATATGGGGAAGGAGAGAGAGACAGATCGACAGATAGACAGATAGGCAGACAGACAGATAGGCAGACAGACAGATAGACATAGAGACAGACAGACAGGCGGTCAGACAGACAGACAGGCGGTCAGACAGACAGACAGACAGACACACAGACACATAGACACACAGACACACAGACACACAGACACATAGACACACAGACAGACAGACAGGCAGACAGATTGAGATACAGACAGACAGCAGACAGGTAGACAGGCAGAGTGAGTGCGAAAGAGTAGATGTTAGAGGCAGAGGCAGATAATGGGAGTGAGTGACGGCCGGACGGCAAAATTTTTTTCCCACTTGAGTTCCGGACCACAGCCAATCAGCGCACTCCATTCACTCGACTTCCTCGAAGCAACAATGAAAAATGAACGCCCTATCCCTAACCCTAACCCTAACACGTACCCGAACCCTAACACTAACTATAATCCAACCATATATATAAGAACCATTTATTACAAAACACTATCTATGATGGGTCCGGAACTCAAGTGAGAAAAAAAATTTCGCGGTCGGGCGGGGGAAATAGAGACGGGATGCAAGGGCACTTGCAGCACAAAAATATAGTCATATTGCACGCTTTCTTTAGAGTCACATTGCTATGGAATGACGGCCTTAGTAACATCCTTCGACGATCACATCGATGAAATTCAAGGATGAATTTGATTGTTTAACGCCAGTATCAATTCGCGCCCTTCTTCGCGATCGCGTCTCTGCTCCCCACACCACACACCAGCTTTGCTCCGCCTGCAGTGATAATGAAGACGTGTCTAGACCCACTAGGTCTCTAGCGTAGGGGACAGCGCGTCAGAGTTTGTGTATATGTGATTAAGCTGTCACGAGTAGGTTATAACCGAAGGCAACGATTTTTTTTGCGCGGCTGTGCATGCACGTAGTCACAGAGATAGAATTCTGTAAGATAAGGGCGGGTTATGAGAATAGTAAAGGCAACGACGACGACGACGACGACGACGACGATGATGACGACGACGACGACGATGACGACGACGAAGACGATGGTGACGACGACGATGACGACGACGACCACGACCACGACGACGATTATGATCATGCTAATGATGATGATGTCACTGACGGTGACGATAACGATGATGAAAATAATGACGTCACACGTAATACATAAGCGTGACTGTATATTTATGAGCTGTCAGCTGTGCGTTCGCATTACAGATCACTTATAGTTTATGTAATTATAAATATTGAGTTACAGTTACTTAAAAACATGTACATATTATCGATATTATAATATAATAATAAAAGTACAAGATAACCTACACTGATATTCTGTTATCTGAAGCGTTTCCTCTGTATTTATTGCGTATGAGTTGTAATAATAAACTGATGGCACACATGTCTATATCAATTTCACAATTTGATGCCAATGCGATATTGTAGTCATATATTTCTCTATATCTATCTACCTATCTCTATTTATTACTATTTCTATTTCTATTTCTCAAGAAAAATATCTGTCAATCCATCTACCTGTTTGCCTTTCTGTCTGTTTGTTTATCAATCTGCCTTTATACTTCTCTATCTATCTATCTATCTATCTATCTATCTATCTATCATCTATCTATCTATCTATCTATCTATCTATCTATCTATTTATCTATTTATCTATCTATCTATCTATCTAGCTATATATCTATCTATCTATCTAGCTAGCTATCTATCTATCTATCTATCTATCTATCTATCTATCTAATTAATTATCTACCTGTCTATCTATGTATCTATCTATCAATCTATATATCTATCTATCTATCTTTTAATACCTCTATCGATCCGTCCATATAACGATCCATCAATCAATCGATCGATCGAGCGATTTATTCATCCATTCATCCCATCCATCCATCCATCCGTACGTACGTACGTACGTGTGTATGTATGTTTGTATGTATGTGTGTGTGTGTGTGTGTGTGTGTGTGTGTGTGTGCGTGCGTGCGTGCGTGCGTGTATGTGTGTGTGTGTGTGCGTGCATGTGTGAGAGTGCATGCGTGCGTACGTCAATGCATATGTACAATATGTTATATATGCAATATAAAAACCGAAATAACAGCATGATCATTATTATAATGGTCACTGTTCTCATGACAATTTTTTCACAAAACCTTTAGTTGAAGAGTTTACAGTGTAATTCTTCGCGGTGATGGTTTCTTACAGGCAGGATTCGTGTTAAAATTGTTTGAGAATGTTCGGAAAAATCGTTAAGCAATCTTCGAATTAGACCCGCCATTTCATTATTGAGATATGAGTCTTACTTACTTTTTCGCTTTGTCCATATAATTGTTTTTTATATTGATATCATACATTTTACCTCGTATTAATGACAGTCCTGCAGATATAAATTCGTGTTTATAGAGTTGTAAGATTTATTATGGAGGTATTACCGTAGAACGCAAAGATTCATGATGCTTATATGTTGTTAGCATACACTAACTTTAAATCACATGTAATTCCCAGGTATCTCCATCGTGCATAAAACAATGCAAGATGCATAATATAAAAAACATGATATAAATGAGATATAATATGAGATAAATATAATATAATATAATATGAGATATATAATAGAGATAATATAATATGAGATAAATTGAAGTGCCATTAGGCATTGATCACGTGATTACTATATAAAAGCCAACACTCACTGCGGCTATGGTTGACCATATCTAATGTACATGACGTAGTCATACAAATTGATTGATACGAACAGAAGCATTAATTATTGCACTAGGGATGAATTAACTATAGAGAAATAATAAGCCATGAGTTACCACGTCGTATTCCTATAAATCGATGATGTTATTGTTATTAATTCTTTTAGTTTATCGTTCTGCTTGCCATGTCTCTTACACGACGTCTTAAATATTTTCATAACTTAATTTATTTCTTATAGTCATCTATTATGCGCTACCATTAATCTAATTGCGCCTCCCCGCTCTTTTCCTAATATTATCGCTTTGCTTACCAGATTGTTCCACGTTCTATTGTTTTTCACTGACCGTAAACGCTAACCCTACCCCTTATTTTCTCTTCACCGCCATCGACGCCCGTCAGTCGGTTCGGAGGGCAAGGAATAAAGCGTGGCTCTGTGCTGACGTTCATTAATCGCCCGAGTGGACGACGCAGACGCGCACGTGCACTAACATCGCGGTCCATTAGAGGACCCGGTGGCCAAACGCCCGCGTCCACCTATGCACACAAACAGATCATGTCATTAAGCAATATTCACGGAGTAGTTGACGGTTGGTGATGATAGGGTGGCCGCCGGATTGCGCTATTCCGCCTTGTTTTGTTTGCTTACATGATAAACACTAGGCCAGCACCATATGGAGCAAGTGTACGTCCGAGAAGGCGCGTGCACGCGCTCACTCCGTGGTACGCTATATAATAATGTGCGTGGTCCTAGCCGGGCTGGTCACGGCTCTTGGCCCCGTTTAAATAGCGAGAAGACATTCGCACATTGCGTGAGGTGCGTGCCACTAACTGAATTACGCGCACTCGCATGAAGGTATTTATGGGGTATTTACAAACGAGGATGGATTTTGAATTTAAACTGGATACGAATTTTTAAAAAGTCCACTGCAAACGCTTGCATAACAATGCTTTTCTCATACAAACAAGTTTGCTGTCGTCTTTTAATATATCTCCGCACATGTATGGTGGCCTAGGGGTTTCCAATTAGTTAAATTTAATTTACGTATATGGTGGTATAATTAGTTAACTATAGATATAAAACCCTGCATGTGGTGGTTTAGTTCGCTGCATGTGCGATTAAAAATGCATACCTATGGGAGTGTGAAGTAAGAAACCTCTTTCATGTTTATGTGGTGGTAAATATAATTACAGTAATTACGTCTGAATGCCTATGAGGCTATGGTATTAGGCAATGTCCACGTGCTTGTGGGGTTAGTTGCACGTCCGAGTCCGTGCAGTATTGCAGTTATAGCTACTTCTACATGACCGTGTGCTGGTGTCATTAGCTTAAACTATATGGTCGTGTGGTTGGTACGACTGCCACAGATTAGCGAAGACGCGCTGTATCTGATCTGGCAGATTAAACACGTAAAGAGGTTTCGCGTCAGGTATCGCTTCTCTCTACGCGCGCACCTGAAAGATTGAAATTCCATTACCTCGCAAGCCTCTTAAACAGCTTAAACGTCTTAGAAGTGCTTTCGCATGAATGGGTGTTGTGGACGGATGGCTGGTTACCGACCCCCGGGGCCATACAGCAGCGCTGCAACCGCAGGTGGGCGAGCCGCAGGTAAGCAGGCAGTACGCGCACATGCCCTGCCTGATAACATCCAACTATAGCGGCACAGCAGCACCGCGTATACCCGCTCGCAGCCTGCTACTGTAGCGCTACTGCTGTGCTTTTCGCTCGCCGAAAGTCACCCGTAGATACGTTTGTCACCCGAGGGGCAGGCCGTGTGACACCTTGATGGCGACAGTGTGGCGACACTAGACCTGCGTGGCTCGCTAGACGTCGCCGCGAGCGTTTTGCTAGCCGCGCGGACCGGCGCGAGCAACATCTGTCGGGCGCTTAAGCAAATATCTGCTTGTAATCGTGATATATAGGATAATAATTGAGTTTGGAGGACAAACAACCGACCCAAGGTTTCCCGATTTCACAGGCAATTAGACTAAATTGATGTACCGCTGTGTCGTTACTCAATTCCATTGATATGTCATCAATTGTTCATTCTGTGTGTAACGCGGATTTAATTCGTTGCGATCGTTTGTCGTTGTTATTATCGATGCATGCACCGCCCTCAGTTGCATTCCTCGTTCTCTCCTCTCCTCTTTTATGGCACCAGCGTCCTCACAGTTTTCGCTACTGCCCTTCGGTTCTTTGTCTCTGCCCCCAGTCACTGTTCTCTTTTCGCTTTCTCTTCGCTACGTGTCGCATTACCACGTCGTCATTTTTTCTCCCGAAAATGTGTGCTTTCGGACGGCCACTTTCGTCCTCTACATTCACGAAACTGAAGTCTAATTGAAGCCTGATGAACGAGCCTATGAACTTCTGAAATAAAGCCTAATTAATTAATTTTTCCTTCCCAAATATGGTCTTAAGTATTTCATCTTTAATCTTTAATAAAATCATTAACAACCTTGAAGCTAGCCGTGAATCTATGACCGAATAGATTCAGTGCGTTTGGAGCACTCGAAATGAACGCGCGTTTCTGAACGAGTCAGCTTTGTAATCTAAGCAGCATACGACATCGGCAACTCTCGGCATACGACAACGCCAACTCTCGGCATACAACATCGGCAACTCTCGGCATACGACATCGGCAACTCTCGGCATACGACATCGGCAACTCTTTCGTCGCGCGCCGTTCGCGCGCATGCAGCATCATGAGGCGGGGAAGAGCCAGCGTTCAAGGTCACTTACACACCGGTCTCTATTGCGGCCGGAAATTCACGCTACGAGTGCTGATGAGGATGCTCATTGTACAGGTGCATGAGCGAAGAGAACGAACGCGCTGAGCGGACGAAGGTGTGTTTGCACCGCACCCGGCTGTCGCTCGGCGCGAAAACTCATAAAAGTTTTTATGGGGAATAAAAATCATCGTTCGCCGGTCGGCACGACATAGGGATGTCGTTTGTGAAGCGGGGCGGCGTGTGTTAAAGTGTGATGGTATAGCTCGCCGTCATCACGTGCCGAGAGCGGTGTTTGTGAGTGCGTGCGCGTTATCATGTGCCGCACGTAGACAGAGACATGTGCCCGCGCGCGCGCTATAGCCTTTGCGTTTTACGATACATTTACGTTGTCGTGTTTCCTCTGTGTGATGTTTCGACATATTATGTAGGAATGTATGCTGAGCCCGCTCATGAGACACGCACGTACACGTACACGCACACGCACGCACACGCGCACACACACGCGTGCGCACACACAAACAAACATGAGTGAGTGAGTGAGTGAGTGAGTGAGTGAGTGAGTGAGTGAGTGAGTGAGTGAGTGAGTGAGTGAGTGAGTGAGTGAGTGAGTGAGAGAGTGAGTGAGTGAGTGAGTGAGAGAGTGAGTGAGTGAGTGAGTGAGTGAGTGAGTGAGTGAGTGAGTGAGTGAGTGAGTGAGTGAGTTGAGGGAATGAGTGAGTTAGTGAGTATGTGAGTGAGTACGTGAGAGAGAGGAGGGGGAGAGAAAAGAGAGAATGCGCACAAGAGAGCGGGAGAGCGATAGCGAGAACGAGAGGCGGTACAGGCAGAATGTAGCCTGAGAAGAACTGTGGGTGCAAATCTTTGCGGAAACAGAGAGGGATAACTCTTGTTTACTGCGAACATCACTATGGCTGCTGCTTTCCCCCACAGATGCGAGAGCAACAGATATACATGCTTGACTTCACACACCGAAAACAGGTTC